GGTTGCTAACTAGATTTTTAAGTTATTGTTTTTTTTAAGGAATATATTTGGATAGTCGGGCTGTTTTTTAATCAAGAAAGTAACTAGTACTTTTTAAGAATCCGCTCCCTCCTTCTTTTTATTTAACTACTAGAATTGCTTATTGAGAGTTAGGGATGTCATCATGCTATCCCTTTATTTAAATTTAGTTTTTATTTAAGGAACCTCTAATGGTCTCTCTGTTTGTTGGTATAAATTTTCCAAATATTTCCTTTAAATAAACTCCAAAATAAATAGCTGAAAGTGAGGAGCGGATGATAAACCTGCTGAAAAGGTGATAAAGAGAGAGCAACAGAAAAATAAATTGAAACTAAACTTTATGAAAAAGAGAGCAAATCAATTAAAAAAAAAAACTAAAAAAAACCACCAAAACAAGAAACTAAACCAGCAAAACAAGAAGCTTTGAGAAGTTTTATTTGGGATTCTGAAGTGATTGTAGTAGAAAATATTCGAATTTAGACTTTGTGACTCTTACTACAAAGAAAAAAAAGGTGGATCACTCAAGTAAGGTTTGCCTTCTGAATGATGTTTTGAAGTAGATTTCATTCATGACAAGGAAATTAAGTTTATAAATAAAAAAGTTAAGTATATAAGCAGCTTTGAACATTTTTTAAACTTTTTTTTTATAAATCAATATTTTATTCATTTTTTAAACTTTTTTTTCACTAAATAGTAAAAACAATTATTAAGAAATGAAATTTCAGTTAACAGTTTTATTTTACTTTAAACTTGTTGATGATTTAGATCATTGTGATGATTTAGATCATCCATATCTTCTTTGAGTCCTTGTTTGTTTATATAAATCGTTTTTATTTTATTTTATGAAAACATTTTTTTGTGTGTGAAAACGTTTCTTTGTATTTTTATTTTTGAATTATATGAACAGCAAAATATACGTTGAAAAAAAAAAGTATGATTTTTAAGCTATAAATAAAGTCAGTGTTCTTACATTTTTATTAATGTTAAAAATGTAAGAATGTATAATGAAATTTCTGATGGCGATTCCTATACCTCACATAATAATTAGCTGCCCACGTTCAGCAGACACACACTGTCCCACTTATTTTATTCCACGTGGTGCTATAACGTAAAAAATTGTAGTACTGCCATTATGTTGATTTCATTAATGTTATAAATTCTATCAGGAGTGAGATGTTTTTTTAAAAGTTTCTCATAGTTGTCAAAAAGTTGGTTTACATTGTGCTGATTAAAACATGTTGAACTAGATGAACTTGTATTTTCAGGTTTACAAAGTGAAAGTTCTTTGTTACGTTTAATGAAACCATATGACCACTCTACACCAGCTTTTTTATTTTCTTATCATATAAACGGACTTTTGCTACGTTTCATAACATTTTGAAATTCCCTTGCTTGCTTGTATGTCAAACCATAATTTATTTTAGAGTTTTTTATAAGGTAGTCTTTCAACATCTTCTTCTCATCTTTATTAAATACTTGTGAAACAGAAAACTTAGTTATGAACCCTAACTTGATCTTGTATAATAAATCTTGTTTATATGTCTTTATTCGCTTGTTTAAAGTATTACGTTTTGTATTATAAGTGGCAGTTTGGTTTATAATTTCAAAACTGCCCCGAGAGCATCATTAATAATAAAAAACAATTTTTCAAAACAAGGCAAGCTCAATTTTTGATATTTTTTGCGAATTCGCAACTGTTATGACTTATTCTATCTTACAAATAACATAGAACTGTTACTTGCTAAAATTGTGGTAGGGAAATTCTTACAACTTTATATCAAAATATTTTCGATTTGTCTTCAAAAACAAACAAATTGTCCAATTTGTATCAAATTATAGGAAAGACAGGTAACTAAGCCATTTGGAATGGCATGAACATAATTTTTTAGCCCGATTGGATTTGGCTTGTTGGGAACATAACGGTGAAGAGGAAAAGCTCCTGTGAATGGGATCATATGTTCATCAATACTAAAGTCCTGGCATCTTGGCTGTAAAAGGCAACCATTTTGGATACAATCCATTGTGGGTCTGACTTTCCACAGACGATCCAGTTTTTTTGCTCATCTGTCACATCAGAGTCCACGACAACCTTCAAATTGTTTCGGATCTGAAAATATCTATTTCTTGATATAACATCAGTAATGGCTGGTAATTTAAGAGTCTTTTGCCAAAACATATGCAGTTGGGGATATGATATGCTAGACATCAATAAACTAGCCTTAACAAAATGTTGAATTTCCATTGATGTGGTATTTAAACTTTTACCAATTCAATTTGTTGAATTGACTATAGTGCAAAATGCTATTTGGTCAAAAAACTCTTCATCGAGGTATTGTTTTATATAATCCAATGTATTCCATTCACTTCTTTCATCTACACTATCAGAACTATGTCAGAAATAGGATTGAAAGTAACAATATTTGGCGAGAAATATTCAAGATGCTTCTACAATAAGCATCTGTTTGTAGTGTAGAGGAACGCTCTTCATTACTCTCATCAGCATTGTCAATATCATGATCCTCATTAGACACCTCTTCATTTTGAGTTTAATTTTCAATATCTTCCGCATCTGATGCATCTTTGCAACATCTTCCGCATCTGACAAGTCTGATAAATCTGAATTATCTTTGTCTATAGCATCCAAAACATCTTTCAGTGAAACTGTAATAAATAAAATCAATTAAATGTATTCAATGAAATATTACAGATATTAATTTTAAAAAAATTAATGAAATATGGTTTTATTAACCACTATTATTTTAATTCCATCAGTAATACGAGTAATCCTAACCCTAAATCATATTCAATCAACCCACTTTGCATGATGATATCCTATTTTACCCACAAAACACATTTTAAGAAAAGTATCAATAGTCCAAACCCACAGTCCATTGTAATGAACACTTCATTTGTTTGACTATAAAATTATTCTAAATTAATTTAACTAAAAATAATTTGTGTTAAAATATCCCCAAGATAATATTTATTATTATTATAATTATAGATTTTAGCGTAAAAACAAAATTTAAAACTAGAATTTTTAATATTTACGTCGTTGTTTTTTAGTAAAAAGTTTTCCCCAAAATTGTCGCCATTTTAGTAAACAAAGATAATTAATTTTCTTATTTTTTAGCCTAAGGATTATAGGACTACTATGTCCATTGTAATTTACAGCGGTTTTGAATTGTTAGCTTGTTGCGTTAATAAACTATGAATTTTTAACGATTGTCCATTGTAATGGACGCAGGATCTGAAGCGGATATAATTTTCAAAACATTTTTACTACCGCTAATAGTAAATCTAAAGAACACCATTTTGGAGTCTTTAGGTCACTTTCGCTCACCGGCGTTAACATAAATTTATTTAAAATTTTTTTAAAAAAGTTCCTTAATCTACTATAGATTCCAGTTCTAATCGGTTCTGACGTATATTAACTATAGATAGTTGCCAAAATACAATGTTTCTTTCATTTTTCACAGAAGTACTAGAATTCCGACCAAGAAAGAGCATATAATTAAGAAAAATTGCTAATAAACAATCAGAACAGATCATATTATTAATCTATGATGTTCATTTCACATAAAAAGCGTTTTTATTTAGAATCTTATTCAAATTTGGATAAGCGATTGTGATTTTATGAAGATTTTTTTTTTTTAAATGATTCTTTGTTTGGGTTTTTTGCTACAAACATATTTTATAATACTGCAAAATTTATCATTTTAATTTTTTTCGTCTTTTCATAATTCACAGATCTGATCATTTAACAGAAATATGTCGTAGTCAACAAAATATCATACAGACGCTATAATATTTTAAAATTGCCTGAACTACACCGAGTTTTATTAAAATTTTATTTATTAAAGAAGATGAAATATGTATCAAATATAATCATTAGCAAAGTCTTGGTTTTCTTTATTATATCGCCAAACTAGAGAAAAAGCTGATAAAAACCTTAAATACATAAAACAGATAAGTTTATTTAAAAAAACTACAAATTAGCCAGCCAGCTATTTGCGGGTGGAAAAAAATCAGCACTTTATATTTTTGAATCCCTATTAGGTCAAATATATACTATAGAGTTTTAAAAAAAGCGTTTTTTAGTTCTCATTAAATCACATGATAATAAGCCCGTGTTTATAATCTGATTTAGTTTTAAATATTTGGAGTAGTCTGGCTTTGAAATAATATAAATGAAATAATGAGAAAATTGCACCCATGCCATTAAATTTAGAATTGAAAGTTTTTCAAACTGCTTAGATATGGAGAGGAGCCTTTAAATTTTTCAAACTTTTAAAAGATTGAGAGTTTGTTTGATGTCCAAATACTGGACAGTTTGAAGGATTTAATAGCTTGTGGGTTCTAATTATTTTTTTTATTTTTTCGTTTAATGATTTTAAATCATTTAACAAAAAATTAAGAAGAAATTTGCAGAACTATAAAGATTTAAATTTTTTTATCAAAAAAAGCACTAGATAGTTTTAAATGTCATCCTCTACGAAAGATTATTGGTACCACTAAAGTAAAAGTTCAAAAAGGTTATTAGATCCCCTCAAGAAAAACTTAATTTCTTTGAAATATTTTATCTTTTTATAATAATCCTGCTTTCATGGGCAGTTTTAAATCAATTTTTAAAAGAAAACTGTCTATAAATAAAAGCTGTATACATACTTTCTCCTAAACCTTGTAACTGACTTTAGAACAATATTTTAAAATCGAAAATGAAAGAACGAAATATTATTGTCAATATTGGTCATATAGTTACAATATTTAACAAATTTGTGAGAAAATTTACATCTAGCAACTGATTAAACACAATTGTAGTTATAAAATGTTTTTAACTTAAAGAAAGCAGGCAAATTTACGGTGTCTTAAGTAAAAAGAAATTGGCATTGTTAATCACATAGTTACGAAATTAATTTAAACAAGTTTGTGATAAAACTTACATACAGTAGCTGAACAAACACAATGAAGTAATACAATATTTTTAACTCTAAGATAAAAAAGTTTACGTTTTTTCAAGTAAAACAAAAGCAACCTCCAGTGTACACAGATACTATTTTAACAGTCATTGAAAGCATATGCTTGTGGACATTACATTGTGGATATTTTTCAGTCACCAGCAAGTTTGATTACAAAAAAAAAGTATATATTTTATAATTTAAATCTAAGTAATATGAAAAAATTATTTAGTAATAACTGCTAGTTTATACACTGTCCTAAAATTATAATCAGACAAATCAAAAAATTATACTCTTTCAACTTTATTTATACGGCTACCTTAAAATAATACGACAGTGTGTATTTATTGCAGGGACGTATCCCAGTGAGCATGTGTCGTCTGGAGAACGTCCGTGTGACGTCCAACGGACGTTCTCCGTAAGAGGTCCAACGCGAACGTCCAACGTGAATGAATGATGGTAATGAAAAGAAAAATGAAAAAAAAATTTTTATCATTGTTTTATATTATATTTATATAAACCTGGGTAATTTTAGAAACTTGATGTATCTTTTTTCCGATGGTTATTATTATTATTATTATTATTATTATTATTATTATTATTATTATTATTATTATTATTATTATTATTATCGATTTCGCCGATGAAAAAAGTTTACAAGTTTGTGCAATATAATATATAATACATGGCTGGGGCAAGAAGAAGACTAGTTTAGTCTTATCACCAAGCCGCTTTAAATAAAACTGTCAATATATAAAATACAAAGCAAAGTAACTCGTTAAATAAAACGTTGCGTTAAAATAAAATAACGTTAAATAAAATGTAACGTTAAGTAAAAATAAAATAAAGTACATTTTACGCTATGTTAGAGTGTAATATATCCAAAAGTATAAGAACATGTTATTAATTAAATTCATTTTTCTAACTGGTTTAAGATTTATAAACCTTTTGAATTTAGATCATAAAATAATACACGAAAAGCAAACAAAACAAAAAACAAACATTTTTAAAAACATTTTTAGTAACTTAATGTGTCTTTTATATATGTTTTTTTATATGTTTTTTATTAAAGTTTATTATATAAAATAAAAAAGCAAAAAAATAAAAACGTCATAATGTACAAATTGACTTACAGTATATACAGAATATATATTTTAACCATATTTATAAAGAAATAAAATAAATAGACAAACGTGATTACTCCTAGTCAAAGGATTCAGAAAAATTTTAATTCGTTGTCATTTATTAAAAGCTTTTGCTTAAGTTTGTCTTTAAAATGTTTAATAGAAGAAATAGTTTTTAACTCATTATTCAATAGCGTGTTTCATAGTTTAGGACCTCTGTTTGCAATTGAAAACTTAGTAACAGAGTAATAGGTTTTCGGTTGAATATAATTGTTTTCTGAAAATCGTGTTGGGTATAGATGATTTATTTTTTCCGAAAATGAGTCAAATAAAATAGGTGATATTTTTTTTATTAACTTTGAACATAAAAATAAGAATTTGATAAAGATTTAGTTGAAATACGTTGAGAATATTAAATTTAATGAATAGAGGTTTAGTATGTGAGAAATCTACATTTCCAATAATTCTTACAGCATGCTTTTGTTTAGTTAATAGTTTATTTATTTTAGTTGCATTAGTGCTACACCAGGCAACGTTTGCATAACTTAGGTAGCTATGAATAAACGAAAAATAAATGTATTTTAAACAGGTTTGATTTAATAACAGCTTAGCTTTGTAAAGTAGACCAATATTTTTTGAAATTTCATTGTGAATTATATTTATGTTCTCCTTTCAACTCACATTTTCATCAATAACAACACCAAGAAATAACAAGAGAGTTGTAAATAACTCTCTTACTATACAAGAGTTATTTACAACTAAGTTTGGAAGATTTAATGGGATAAGTCTCTTTTCATGAAGACGATGGAAAAAAGTATATTTTGTTTTTTTATGTTTATGGATAATTTATTTGCTATAAACCATTCGCTTAGTTTTGCAAGCTCTTTGTTTACAGTTTCAAATAAAGAATTAATATCCTTATCAGATTAAAATAAGTTAGTATCGTCTGCAAATAGGATTGAATTTAAGATACTTGAAAATTTATTTAAGTTGTTCATATAAATGAGGAACAAAAGGGGCCCTTAAATTATTCCTTGCGAGACGCCCCAAGAAATTGTTGCTAAACCCGTTTTACTATCATTAAACGAGATATATTGTTTCCTGTTTGTTAGATAACTTTTAAACCAAGCTAAGTTATAATTTAAGATACCATAATTTTTAAGTTTGTGCAGGAGAATATTATGATCCACCGTATCAAAAGCCTTACTTAGATCAATAAAGACGCCTAATGTAAATTTGTTTTCATCAAAACCTTTGAGTATTTTGTGTATTAGATGAATGAATGGTCGCTTGAATGGCCAGATTTAAACCCAAATCGTTTATCGTAAAGAATATTATTAATAGTTAAAAAAGAATAAAGTCTGTTATACATAACACGTTCCAAAATCTTGGAAAAGCAGGTAAGAATTGAGATTGGTCTGTAGTTTGAGACATCAGAAGGATCACCTGATTTATAGGTTGATGTAACCTTTGCACATTTTAGATTTTCAGGAAAAACCCCGTGCTTTAAAGATAAATTTAAAATATGTAAAAGTGGTATTTTTATAAAACTAATTGATTTAATAATGACATTACTACTAACATCATCAGCACCCGGACTTTTATTAGGTTTTAGTAAAGAAACTGAGTTTAATAATTCATCTTCTGTAAGTTCATGATTAGACATGACAGTTATATTAGGTGTTAGTTATGAACGAAAGTTTGTCTGAGATGGTCCTATTTTAGAGGCTAAATTCGAACCTATATTAAAAAAAAGTTGTCAAGTGTTTCTGCAACTAATGATTTATTTACAATTAAGTTATTATTAACTTTAAGATTAGTTGGGAGTGCATTTTGGTCCAGATTTTTTTCGCCAATTACCTCTTTAATAATGTTCCTTGTTTTTTGTGTACTGTTGTTTCTCTTTAATTTTTCAGAATAATAGTTTTTTTTTGAGCGTTTTAGAACAGATTCAAATAAACGTTTATAACTTTTATAAGTAGTTTCATTTACCAAAGTTCTTTTTTTAAGAAATTTACAATATAATCGTTATTTAATTTTGGAAGATTTAAGGATTCCCTTCGTTATCCATGGGTTTAAAAACGTTTTTGATTTGACTAATTTAGTAATTTTAGGGAACGCTTCATTATAATGAGTAAGAAATTCGGTTAAAAAAATATCGTAAGCTTCATTGGCATTTTGATTTTTTAGCGTCTCGTTCCAATTTACGTACGATAAAAGATAGTGAAAATATTTCATGGATGTACCGTTTGTAATTCGCATTGTAATTTTTTTTTATAAGCATCAGGCTAAATGCATTTATTTGATATTATAAAAATCGGAAAGTGATCCGAAATATCCGTTTTAAATATTCCAGTTTTATTTTTGTATTGATAAATTCATTAGTTATAATTTGATCAATTGACGTTGCACAACTGCTAGTCACACGCGTAGGTTTATTTATTATTTGAATGTACTTTCCACTTTGAAAAAACTTTGAATCCACTTTGAAAAATGACGTTAAAGAATTTATTCGTTTGATTATTTACGTCATACTCTAAAATATTAAGCCTTATGTCACCCACGAAATAAACACTTTCATTTAAACTCAATTTATTTTGAATTATATTTTTAATGTGATCTTTAAACGCATTAATATTTCCTGATGGTGGTCTGTATAATGCATGCACGACGATGTTTTTTGAGGTTTTATTAATGATTTCCACACATAATGACTCATATGAGTTATCATCCATTCCTTTGGTAATGTCTTTTGAGTATGGGTTATAATATAATGGGCTAACATTTTTAATTAGTTCATCATCATTATAAAAATGAATATCAGGATCCGAATTGCGATTTAAAAGGATTGAATTTTTAATTTTAAATGTTTAAATTCGAAGTTTGACAAATCAGTTTCGTCAGCCATTTTAAATAAGAGTAATTTTAAGAACAAAAAATATAAAAACTTAAAAAATTTAATTGATGGCACTCGTTTTCCCAAATTCCTTAACAATTAATTTATCATACACAACAACACAATGTTTACCGTTGGTCCTGTGCAACTTTCTCTCTTCAAAAAGCTTTTTCCGTATTAACGCTGTGATGGTTGCCGCTGGTTTATTGGAAGCTCATTGGTTGTATACTTTAGGAGAAACAGCTGCCTCCTTAAATTTGTTGAAATACTGTATTTTCTCTTCTCACCTTTTTTTTTGTTCTTCTAAGAACAACTCATTTCATTTAAAACTCTTATTATTTATAAGTGTTGGAATTTATGGCCCCCCTCTGCGAATCATGTTTCGATGAACCTTCTGTACCAAATAGGACAGATTATCTTATGTAGTCTAAAAACATTGGCTTACTAAATCCTCTAGGGTAATGGGCATTAAAGATGTAAAATTTTTGGATTTGCATCTAAAAAAATGAAAATAAATCTCAAATTTTATCAAAAATAAAGATATTGAGATATTGAGAAGATTTTACATTTAGCTGAAATTGACCTCGAAAAATTGTTTAGATATACATATCATAAACTCAGTTGACATCAGGGAATGAAAAAAACATGGATTCAAAAAGTTTTCATTGGGACACCCTTATTATGTTCTTTTTATCTCTTTCTGTCTATATTGTTATTTAAAATGTGAATCAGCTTGAGTTTGTAATGGATAAAACTTGTTTTGTTTTTGCTTTATTTTTAAAAGACTCTTTCTAAACGTTTAGTACATAATAAGATAAAAGAATTTGTATAAAACTTTTATACAAATAAATTCCTACTTCCAAAGGTGTGCATTTATGTTAAACAAAAAAATTTTCTTCACTATACTTTTTACCTAAAATCATTTAGGAGTCAACTTAATAATTATTTTTTTAAATGTATCTTAAAATGTGTTTTATATCATCACTTAGGTGGCTATGACATAATTACTTAGGTGAGATAAAATCACTTTTCCTAATAAAAAACTTATTTTACTTTAAAAATTTCATTTGAGCTTTTATTATTGAAAGGAATAAAATTTGATGTACGTCAAATTATACTAACCATAATAATATCGTGACGTCGTGATATTTATAAATTAAAAATTGTTTATACATACTTGAAAATATTTTAAAACGAATAAAACTGGGTGTTTACACTAGGAACGTAGTTGTTTACTCAGACTTATAGTATCAGTTACAAATTCAAAAGCAAAATTTATTATAAATTGACATGTTTTGATAATTTTAAATTTAGATAAGAAAAATGTTGTTTAAAAGCATGTTGGGCTTGAAAGTTTTAACGTTATTTTTTTTGCAAGTTCCTCAAAGTTCATTTGCCGTACCATTCTCAATATTGTCATTGTTTGGCCCTGGTAAAGTAGATTTAAGTAAGTATATAATTTTTTAATTTAGTTTTTATATTTATTGTTTTTGATTAAAAAAAAATTACATCCTTTAAATACTTTAAGTTTTTTTTTAGTTACAGATGCATTTTTCAACTCATTGCATACTTTTATGTTTCCAAAATCAGTTATCTTTAATAACATTGGTCATCCGATGAAGCTGAAAATTATTGGTAATAACGATGATTCAAAATGGTTAACCATACCTTACGGTAGTAAAATTGAGTTTGACGGGACCCGAAACTTTTTCAGTCAAAAGTTAGACAGAGAATACCGTGTGCGCATAGTGCTAGAAATATCAAGAGGTTCAACCCAACCGCCGTCCGTGGATTGGTTAGAGTTTTCAGCCATGTATAATAATTATTTTGCACCTTTTAAATTTTTAATAAATAATCAAGGAGCATATCAGTTGGGTGAAAATGGACTTAAAGGAATGTGGAAAATTGCATCTTGGAACGCTGATAACGATGTTCCAAATAAAAACCCGGCTCTAATTAAATGGAATGGCAATTGGGCATTTTCGTGTGATTTTTATGGTAATGATTTCGCAAAAATTGAGAATATGCGTGGTGAATTATGTGGTGCAAAATGCGCTAATACAAACGGCTGCACGCACTTTACACATAATCCGGACGAAAAAGGAGGCACGTGCTTCATGAAGAACCGAGTTTATATTTCAAAAGCATTTGCTCAATATTTTCCAAAGCAGTATGTCACTTGTGGCATTGTTTAATCTTTTAAATCACTTATGCTGTTGATAACTGTTTAAGAAAACCAAATTTAAATTTTTTCATTTTTTAAAAAGTTACTATTTAGCTTGTATTTTTTAGACCTTAATTATAAACAAAGAAAAGACTTTTGTCATTTATTATTAAAATCATAAGTGTCTTACTAAATCCCAGTCGGCACACCAATATTGGACGTAATTATTAAGATTGTAGTAACGTTGAATTAACGATTGGAAATAGAGAGGATGGATAACGTTAGGTTTTCCAACGTTATAATGTTAGATTATCTAACGTTAATCAACGTTAGTCAACGTCGTAATTTCGCTGTAAAAAAAAACTTTTTTTAAGCAAAAGTTATCAACCATCAGGCTCGAACCCCAATGACTCGCTGCACATTACATCGTGCTATCTACAGCGCTATACAATCATACTGATAAAGGAAATATTAACTAATATATAGTCACATTTTATTAAAAAAATTTATTATTATAAATTTCACTTTGTTTTAGTGGGAAGTTAACCATGAATTATAATTTAACACTTTATTCATTTTTCAAAAATTGAACATTCAAAAAACTCGATACTTCAAAAAGAAATATATATATACATATACATATATATATATATATATATATATATATATATATATATATATATATATATATATATATATATATATATATATATATATATATATATATATATATATATATATATATATATATATATATATATATATATGTATATATATATGCGATGTTTCACCAGTTTATCAAAGAAGGCTAAAATCTAAAGACACAAATAAGCCTAGTCCTATAATAGTTGAACTAAGTAGTGTTTCATTAAGAAATCCACTTCTTCTAGCAGTAAAATATTTGAATAAGAAATAAGGTTAGAAATCAGCTTACATAAGCGCAGATTTAAGTGAATTAAGGAGATTTGATTATGATTTAAGAAAAAAAAGAAACGAAGCAAACAGTACTCGCCCTTTCGATATGACATTTGTGGAAATCAGATTGTCAAAATTAAATCTCAACAGTACTAAATCAACAAAATCATTTCAGCCATTATCTTTAAACGGGCTAAATGCTTTGAAATGTATTTATTTAAATGCAACCTCTTTAGAAAATAGATTTGATGAATTTAAAGTATTACTAGACACGCACCATCCACAAATAATAGCTGTTAGTGAACCGTGGTTCAAAAGCATCTCGGTTGTAAATCTAAATGGCTATAATCTGTATAGAAGAGACAGATACAATGGGCAGCAGAGGAGGTGGTGTGTGTCGATATATTACATAAACTATTAAACCATTAGAGCTAAGCTCTGTTTTTAACTTAAGTAAAATTGAACAAATTTGGGCGAGAGTGTATTTTGAAAACAACAAGTATTTAGTTAGTATATCTACAGACCAAAACATTTTGTTGACATGAACGATTTCAATTTGGATTTCAAAAGAACTAAAGACTATGTTGATAGAAAAGGATACGAAGACTTACTAATAACATGGGATTTTAATTTCTCATCGATTTTTTGGTCAAATGGATATAAATACATCACAAACATTAAAAATGAAAATGGTATCAAACATAACTTTAGTTAAACTCTTAGCAAAACATTTCTGTATCAGCATGTAAATGTTTCAACTTTTCAAATATCAAATAATTCTGCTACTAACAATCTTGATCTAATCTTCACAACTCAACCTGGAAACATCTGCGCTATTGATCCAAGATCTGTCCTTGGTAACTTAAATAAAGGTTATATGGTCATCTTTTTCGATTTCATTATCAAAACAGGGTTAATAACTTATCTTACAGCTACTTAAAGTTTAGTTACAAAAAAGCTAACATCAACATATGAAAAACATATGATTTAGTTAAAAGATCCAAATCGAATCCGAAACTTCTGTATAAATACCTAAACAGCCAACAACAAGTTAGAGAATCAATCAGAGCTTTAAAAATAGCTGATGGTAATATAACTCAAGAACCTAGAGAGATACCTAATCTACTTAATAAATGTTTCCGAGCTGTTTTCGTAAATGAAAAAGAAGGGGAACTTCCACATTTCATAGTTGAATTTAATGAAAATCACTTAAAGTTTGTTGATCTATATCCAAATAATATCAGCAACTAAATGATATTAGATAAATTAAAAACCTTTAATCAAAATAAAGCATATGGTTCTAATAATATCTATCCATTTCTGCTCAAAAACTGTGCTGAAGTATTTGCTATTTCTCTAACATCAGTTATTAGGGCATCTTTAACTAATAGTCAGCTTCCAGTTCAATTTAAATCAGCAAATGTAACGCCCCTATTAAAAAAAGATGATAAAACTCTTCCCTGCAATTATCGTCCAGTTTTATTGACTTCTGTTCCATGTAAAATTATGGAAGGTTATAAGAGCTAATTATGGTATAATTAGAGCTAATTATGATATAATTAGAGCTAAAATGAAAGAGTATAAAAATAATCTTCTAGCAAAAGACCGACATGGTTTTTTTAGAAGCAAATCATGTACCACTAATCTTTTAGAAAGTATTGACTACATTTGATCAAGCTTCAATGTTGGTATTTAGTTGATGTAATTTTGTTAGATTTTTCTAAAGCCTTTGACACAGTTCCACACGGACTGTTAGCCAAACATCCGGCTTTGATGGTCTGCTACTTAAATGGATCGCAGCTTTCTTAGAAAACAGAATACAAAGAGTTGTTCAAAGTGAAATCATTTCTGACTAGGTTTAGATTTTTAGTTGTGTTCCACAAGGTTCGGTAATTACAGCACTTTTATTTGTTTTATACATTAATAACCTTCCAAAAAAATTGCTTAATGTAACCAAACTATATGCTGATGATATAAAAGTGCTTTCTCAATTATCATCAGAGCTATGCGCTACTAATTCTTCAAAATGATCTATATATTGTCAACAATTGGTCTCAAACTTGGCTTCTCCTGTTAAACATATAAAATCTGTAGTTATGCATTATGGTCACAATAACAAAAACTATTTATATAATTAAACAGTATTCAATTAACGGAGTCAGATACAGAAAGAGATCTAGTACTTTAGAGTACTAGATCTCTTTCTGTACTTTTCAATACAAACCTAAAATTGAAAAATGATTTGATTAATGCTTTTAACAAAGCAAATCAAATGCTTGGTCGTATCAAAAAATCATTTGTTTGTTTCGATTATAAGTTTCTTCGTTTACTTTAAATCACTTTTGTTCGTCCATTACTGGAGTTTGCAGTTCCGGCATGGTCTCCATTTCTTAAATTGGATTGTGACTACATTGAAAGAATCCAGTAAAAGCTACTAAACTAGTATCATCAATCAGAAATCTTTCATAAACAAAAAGACTCGAAGAATTAAATCTAACTACACTAGTGGAAAGGAGACAAAAAGGAAATCTAATACAAATGTATAAAATTATGAATAGTATTGATAAATTAGAAAAAGGCATTCCTTTTCCGATTTTTAACAATCATACAAGAGGTCACTGTTTTAAAATTTCTACGGAAATGACAAAACATAGCAACGAGAAAACTTCTTCTTTAATCGAGTAGCGAATTTATGGAACTCTCTGCCAGAAGAAATTGTTAAACCGCCAACAGTCAATAGCTTTAAAGCAGCAATTGATTGATGGATGAGCAGCAATTGATCATTTTGGCTGTCAAAGTGTGCCTGATAACTCACTCATATATATATATATATATATATATATATATATATATATATATATATATATATATATATATAAATATATATATATATATATATATATATATATATATATATATATATATATATATATATATATATATATATATATATATATATATATATGTATATATATATATATATATATATATATATATATATATATATATATATATATATATATATATATATATATATATATATATATATATACATAATTTCTATTCACATAAATATTTACTTGCCGAATTATAGACAAAATCCTCAATATAAAGTAAAATATTTATTAAAAAAACGTAAAGCTATTATAACATGGTAACTCCGATAAAAATATTACGTTAGTGTTATTACAATGCTGTAATTCTGATAAACCAAAATAACGTTAGAGTAACCAATATTAGATTTAGTTGCAAAAAAATAAAACGATATAAAAATCAAATAAAGAAAATTATTAAATTTTAGAGGTATATAATTTACATACATGTCCAACCAGTGGGCACACGATGTTGATCCAACGTTGGATTTACCTTGGGTTATGTTGGGCGACATCAACCAACTAAATCTAACGTTATAATAATGTTGGTTAAACTAACATTACTTTTTATCAGAATTATGTTATAAAAAAAAGTTGGTTATATAAGAATTATAATTGGTTTAATTAGCAGTATAATTAGTAGCCGTGGCGCACGGGTAGCGCACTTTCCTCAGAAACAAAGGATTCCTGGTTCAAACCCACCTCTGAGCAAGTTTTAAATTGTTTTATTAACGTTGGTTACACTAACGTTTTTTTAAATTGAAATCACAACGTTGTAATAACGTTGGCTGCACTAACCTAATTTTTCATCAGAGTTGCAACGTTAAAATAGCTACACTACATTGGCGTCACTAAACGGGGTGCGGATTGCTTTTACATCAAAATTACAACGTTGATTAACGTTGGAAAATCTAATGTTGGAAAATGTAACGTTATCCAACCTCTTCTTTTTTCCAACAATAATCCAACGTTTTTACAACCTAAATAGTAACGTTATTTAACGCTGTTCAAACGTTTGTGTGCTTACTGGGGATATTGGAAAAAAAAAACTGATATAAAAAAGTAGTTTTAGGTTCAGGTCAAATTTTCCAATAGTGTACAACTATAAAATATCAAATTTAAATAACTTAGTTCAAATTTTAAAGACAGCAAGCAATTTGTCTTTTTTCATCATTTTAAAAATCTTACAATGTTCTGAAATTTTTTTGCCCTGATTTTCTGTATAATTTATTACTGACTCATCACTGACATTTTTGCATTACGTTAAATTATAATTATGTTAAATATAATAAAGCTTTAAGGTGGTACAGTAATATAAAAAAAAAAAAATTTTCAACTTTATCAAACGTTTTTTTTTTCTCAAATTTTATAATATACTGTTAGAAAG